CAAAATGGGCTGAGGCCCCTCGCAGCTCCTTGGTGACTAGAAACTTGGGGTGGCGGGTCTTTTTGACCCTGGACGTACAATAGGCTTTGGGTTCGTCCCGGGGGCCGGGAGTTCCCCAAATCTTTCCTGGTCGCGCAGGAAGTGGGCAGCCCGTGTCCTCCGGACCAGACCCCTCAGCCTTGGGACTCCGGCCTCCACTTCCGGTGCCGGCCCGGGGCCCCAGGGGAGCGTTCCTGGGGTCTGCTTAGCATCCCCCGAATGGTGCATTCTAGTAGTGGTGTCCAGAGATAGACGTCGTCGCCGCTGGGGGTCTGAGTGTGGGTGACAGAGGTTGGCAAGCCTGATCTCCCCACGGTCTTCGGGGACTGTGTCGTCCTTGTCCCCGGAGGATCTCTATGCTTCTAGCTCTTTTGTTTCTGGCTGAGACAGGGTCTCTATATAGCCCAGGTTGGCCTCTAAGTCCTGTGGGTCCTCCTGCCTCAGCCTCACTGTAGTGTTAGGATTACAAGTGTGTGCTGTCACGCCTGGCGAGGAGCTCTCCGTGTGCATCGCAGGGCGGGGGGCCGGGGGGCTGACCTTTCTACTCTCGCAGTGCCCGCGATTTCTTGGGTGTCCAAGAAACCTTGCCAGTTTAGAGAACTAACTGTGCTGTGCAGTGGTCGTGGGGAGGAACAGGACATGGCAGCCAATGGTGGGGACTCCATACAGCAGTTCCAGCCTCGTGGGGCTCCTGGACACAGAGGCTGTCGGGAAGACTGCTCCCCCCCCCAGGTGTCATGTTCCTGAAAGGCACCAATTCATTCCTGAAAACTTTGTTCCACATGAGCTGGGCATTAGTCACCTGAACCTTGACCGGTATTGGACAGTTCCAGCCGGATCTCTGGACCTGCTCCTGTGGTTCTCCTAGGCTGCTTGGGACTGGTGCCTGGAGAAGAATGAAGTGGGGAGAGGGGAGTATTTGGTTCAGAGTACTTAGTCCTTGCAGGATAGGTCTACCTCCAACCCTTCAAACTACTCTTTGTTTTAATTTTTTGAGACAAGGTTTTGCTATGTAGTGCAGACTTGCCTTGAACTCACTGTGTAGCCCAGGCTGACCTCAGACTCCTGGTGAGCCTCCTGCCTTAGCCTCCTGAGTGCTGGGATTACAGGTGTGCGCCATTACACTGAACTCCCATGTTGGATTTTTTGACCACCTCTGCGGCCGCTCTCCCAGCCCATAGTGACTGCCTTCGCTCCCCCTGTTTTCAGTTTCTACCCTTGCAGTGCCCGTGATTCCTTGGGTGTCATAGTTTTCTGCACATTCTCTGCCTGGAGAAAGGCTGTATTGGCTCGGCTGGTTCTCGGGAGTCCCTCAGAGTGGCTGCGGTAGTTGATGCCAGAATCAGGGACTGCTGCCTCTGGCCAACCTTCCCATTCAGCTGGGGACTGCCTGTAGGCTTCCAGCATTCAGCCAAGGGCCCTTGCTGCTTTTAGCTAGGATGACCTTAATGTGGACATTGGAGTTTTGAATGCCTGCCTTTTCCCCTATATGTGTTTGTGTATTCCTAGGGACTCTTAACTGCTAAGCTACATATCCTGCCCCTTTCTGTTTTACTTTGAGACAGGCCCTCGCTAAGTTGCCCAGGGTCCTTGTACTTGCAAAGCAGGCAGCGGAACCACTGAGCTGAATCCCCGGCCCGCTGATGCTTGCTTTTTGTTTGTTTTGGATTTTTGGGTGGGGGGGGTTGAGACAGGGTCTCACTATGTAGTTGATACTGACCTGGAACTCTCTCTGTAGCCCAGGCTGGTCTTGAACTCACAGTGATCCTCCTGCCTCAGCCTCCTGAGTGCTGGGATTACAGGTGTGCGCCACCATGTCCGGCCTGATGCTTGCTCTTCACTGCATAGTGTGGTAGGAATTGAATTGGTCAGTTTATGTGAGCCTCTGGACAGGTTTTTTTCAGAATAGTTTTTCAGCTAGGCATAGCTCATAATTGCAGCCACTCCAGAGGCTGAGGCAGTAGGATCATAAATTGGAGTCAGTTTTGGACTATGTAGTGACAGCAAGAGCCTATCTTGAAATAAAGATAAATAAAAAGGTCTGGGGATGTAACTCAGTGCTAAGGCCCTGGGTTCAATCTCCAATACTGCAAAAAAACCAACAAGAAACAAAAAGAATATGCTTTCAGAATATATTGCTTTAAACTGTTTTGTCATACAAGAAACCCCCACAAGTATAGCATCCAATAGTCTCTTCAACTTAGATTTGTAACTGGAGGCAGATTGTGTGTACAGTGTACAATATGCGAAGTACCTCAGTCTGGTAGAATACATATCTACAAGCTAAATTAGCCCTGGTCCTTATTTATTTGGTACCAGGGATTGAACTTAGGACCTCGTGCTTGCGAGGCAGGCAGCGGCATCCCTGAGCAAATCCTCGGCCTGGGCCTTATTTTTTGTAGTTCCTGTCACTTGCTAACTTGTTTTTAATATGGCACTTTCATTTTATTTTGTTTTTTGAGTCAAGTCGCACTGTGTAGCCCACGCTGGCCTTGAACTTGCGATCTTCCTGCTCCAGCCTCCTGAGTGCTGGGATGGCTGACAGGCATGCCACCATGATGATCAGCTTAGCCCTTTTTTTTTTTTTTTTAACTCATAACACCTCCATCAGCTATACTGGAAAGTATTTTTAGCAGTTGGATTTCTTTAACTTTTTTTTTTTCCACTGGGGATCAAACTCAGGACCTTGCGCTTGCAAGGCAGGTGCATTGCCACTGAGCTAAATCCCCGGCATTTCTTTAAGTTCTTAAAGGATAGCATACTTTTAGCCTTTTTATAATCATGTCCTTCAGGATAAGTCATAGTTTTCTGCTTGATTTTCTTACCTTGTTCAGCCATCATCATTTGCACAGCAAAAATGATCTCCCACTTGTCTCCTGCTGCCACTCAAGCCTGCTTTTTACAAAGCAGATGCTTTGATGGTCTTAGACAGCCAGCCGGAACACGGGGCTTCCCTGCTCTGCACCTGGACATGGGGTCCAAATTCCCATCTGCCTGTGCGAGTCTCACCATCGTCTGGTGCTTTTCTCTTAGTAGCTCAGGGCTTCCAGGTTCTCGGGGCCTGGGGCCATGCTAAGTGGCCAGCTGAGCCTGGGCACCATGTTCTCTTCCCTGAGCTGCCTACCACCCTTTTTTTTTTTTTTTTTTTTTTTTTTTTTTGTTAGTACCTTAGGATTGAACTGGGGTCTTCACACTGAGCTACTACATCCCCAGCCCTTGATTTTATTGTTGTCCTGTGACTGGGCTTTCTCAGTTACCAAGGCTGGATTCAAACTTGCTTCCCTCCTGCCTTAGCCTCTCAAGCGCTGGAATCACCGGCGTGGGTACCCTGAGCCTGACTCTAACCATTCATTCTGAAGCCTGCCCCCTAGGAAGACAGCTTCTTCCAAAAAGGATGTTGGATTCTTTTTTTCAGAACTTTTATTTCTTTTGTGGTCCTGGGGATTGCACAAAGAACTACATCCCTGCTGGGCAGAGTGCTGTGCCTGCGTTCCATCCCCAGCCAGCCAGTGTTGGGGGTTCTTGCTATACCCCACCTGTCGCTGCCTTGCCTGCCCTGGTTGCTTCAGGGACTGGTGGAGAATGTTTGCCTTCTTCGTGGGCTCTGCTGATAGGCGTACAGAAATTTTAGAGGCTTTCCACTGTAAGGAAGCCAGGATTTGGCACTGATTCTAGGCCGCCTTTTCACAATTGATTGGGCTTTATAATTATTGCAGCTTTCTTACCTGCTTGTCATTCTACGATTAGATTAAACTGGGTCTCCAAGCTTTAACTTCAGTGGTATGACCTACAGAATACATTCTGAATGGGGCAAAACGGACTTATCTTTTTCCTCTGTGGTTTAATTGTGGAGGTGTAGATTTCTTGAGCTGGGACTTGCAGTCACCTGGCCTCAGCCTCCCAGAATTCTGGGATTACAGGCGCCTGTAATCCTGGCTCAAAAATCTGGAATTTCTGGTGCTTAGTTTTGACTTGTTGCCAGATCATACCAACTGAGTAGATTAAATCAAATAATGACTGTTTTTTTTGGCGGGCTGGGGAAGGAACCCAAGGCCTCATGCCTGCTAGGCACGTGCTTTCCCACTGAGTTAGACCATGGCCCAAACCTACATTTATTATCTCATAGTTCTGCAGGTCAGAAATCTGCTGTGCATCTCAGCAGGTCAAAAAGCATCTGCTGAGCCGGGTGTGGTGTCACATACCCATGATCCCAGGACTTGGGAGGCTGAGGCAGGGCATTGCTGACTTCAAGGCCAGCCTGGGTTACACAGTGAGACCTTGTCTTTATTTTATTTTACTGGTACCAGGGATCCAACTCAGGACCTGGTACTTGCCAGTCAGGCAGATGAACCACTAAGCTAAATCCCTGGCCCAGAGACCTTGTCTATAAAAAATATCTGACGGCTGCATTCTTGTAGAGGCTTTGGGGGACAGTGTTTCCTGTTCTTGAAGGATCTTGGTAGGATTCAACTTGTTGCGGTTGAGAGACTTGGGTCTCCGTTTTCTTGTGGGCTCTAAACAGAGGGCCTTTCCCCCATCCCTTCGCCCTGGGCACTTCCTCCCTCCTCAAAGCCAGTTCTGGAGGTGAATCCTCCATTTCCAACCTTACCCTTTTGGTGTTGTACCTTTTTTTTTTTTTTTTTTTTTTTTTTTTTTTTTTTGGAGAGGGTCTCACTGTATAGTTCTGGCTGGGCTTGAACTCACTCTGCAGTTCAGGCTCGGTTGCACTGGGAAGACAGGTGTGGCTCACCTGGCTCCAGTACTTCTTTGAAATGCAGATGGAGGGCTCTCAGCACTGTGGGGTGATTAGATTAGACCTCGTCATCTCAGGGCTCTAACCTCAGTCATATCTGCAGTCACTTTTGCTACCTAAAGTAACACATTCATGGCTTGGAGCAGGTTTTGGGGCCCAGACATCTTGAGGGGCTGTCACAGCCCACCCAGGGGCCATGAATAGTCCCACCACACTTGCCAGAAGCAGAGCTAGAAGCTGGGGTGAGGTCCAGTGGTGAGCGTTGCTAAGCAGGTCAAGGCCCTGGCTTCCACCCCCAGCAATGCAAGGAAGAAAGTGGAAGAGGGCAGGGTCAGCAGAGCCTTGGTTGTCTGTGTGGCCGACCGTGTTGCAGACCATATTTCAGGCCAGCATTTCTGATTTGGGGATGTTAGAGTCGCTTACTGTTTTGTGATCCTTCCTGTCCCATCCACATCGCATATTTCCCTGGATGAATTTTCCTGAAGCAGGACTGCTATACCCTGGTCTCTGGCTTTGACCTTCCTCAGGACCCCTTTGACAGTTTGTTGATTGTGGAACAGAGTCAGCCGGATGTCCGTCCTCTCCCTGGCCTCCTGTCTGTGCGTTTACCTTTCCTGGTAGGTGTGGGCGTGTTGGGTTCTTGGGGCTCCCTCTGCCTGGCTCATGAAGCACCCTGGAACCCCCTTTCTGGTGCCACGGCACCCTTCCTAGAAGTGCTCAGATTCTGTCTTCGCCTTCTCCACTGTGGTTATATATATCATGTCTCCGATGTGACTAATCAGTGAGGGAAGCAGTTAGGAATGAATCATGGGATCTGACACGCGGAGCCAAGGCATTTCCCCTCCCCCAGTACTGGGGATCGAACACAGGGTCGCTCTACCCTTGAGCTACACAGCTCCACCCTTACCCTGTGATTTCCATACTGGGGATTGAATTTAGAGTCTCAAACATGCTAGGCAAGCACTGGACCATCAAGCTACGTTCCCCAGTTCCCTTTTGGTTTTTTGAAACTAAATTGTCCAAGCTGGCCTCCAGCTTGTGATCCTCCTGAGTAGCTGGGTCTCGGCTTAGAAGCCACCATGCTGGGTTCTAAAGTTGTCTTGCACCGAGTTCTCTATCTACTGGGACCTCCAAGTTGTGTCTGATCTGCTCTTGACTGTCAGCCCGCCTCAGATGGTGTCATGAGTTCCTCCGGGGGCACGGATGGACTATGAAGCCGCCTCCAGCCAGCTCCTTGGGGCCAGGCAGGGTAAATGCGCTCTTCAGGTGTCTTGCCCCATGGCTTCTCCTTCTGGGCTGACCACAGAACTGTCCTGTGCCGGGATATGCACATGGCACCTCCACCTCCAGTCGAGTCTTGTCCTTAATGCCTGGGGGAGCTTCAGAGTCCAGGCAGGGCCCCACTGGTCAGATGGAGGCTGTGTCTGGCCAGTTTTAAGGAGTGACTGAGTGATAGCTGGGTATGGTGGCGCATGCCTTTAATCCCAGCTCCTCTGGAGACTGAGGCAGGAGACTCACAAGTTTCATGCCAGCCTGGCCAATTTAGAACCTGCTTTGAAATGAAAAATAAGGGCAGGAGGTGTAGCTCAGTGGTTCCACCGTTTGCCTCACAAATGCAAGGTTCCAAGTTCGATCCCCGGTACCAAAACAAACAAACAAACAAAAAACAGAAAAAGAAAAAAGCTGGGTATGTAGGTCCATGGCAGAGCACTTTTGAATGCAAGGCCCTGTATTTAGTCCCAGAACTTTGGAAAACAAAACTCAAAATGGAGAAGAATAACTGGGGCTGGACATGTACTTCCAAGGTAGAGCACTTGCAGCTTCGCATTTGCCAGGTACTGGGTCCCATTTCCCAGCCTTGCAGGAAGGGAGCAGAGTGACCTGGGTCCCTGGGCCCTGGTGGGAAGTGCTCTGCAGTTCGGTTGTTCCTGTTTCCAGCTCTTTCCTCCTGTAAGGTGGTGTGACTTGTGCCTGCAGGAGGCTCCTTCCTGCAAGCTTTGTTCTTGCCTTAGTTTTGTGTCTTTGTGGTGCTGGTTTAGAACCCAGGGCCTCAAGTGTGCTAGGCAAGTGCTCTGCCTCAGAGCTGTGCCACCAGCCTGGCTCCTGGAAGTCTGGACCCCAAGGCTGCTGGGGTCCAAGTGGTACAGTCTGTGTAACACAGGGCTGTGACCACTGTGTTGTGGGTACTGAGTGTTTTCTATGAACAGTCCTCTCTTGAGTACCCAGCCAGCTAGGAGGCCTCTGCCCGGTGATGGCCGTATCCAGCTACCTGTTCATGGCTTGGGCCGTGGCCTGGCACAAAGTAGGTGTGGTGGTGCCAGAAGCAGGAAACAGGGTCCATGTGCTCCTGGAGCAGCCATGTTGGTCCCGCAATGGCCTTGGGCTGGTGATAGCTGAGCATTGTTCTTTGTCGCTGTGGGGCCTGGTTCCTGCCTAGGGCGCCCTCCTCCTGACCACGAGGGACACTGACCTGGCTGGTTGGACTTGTTCTGCCCAGGCCAGGACAACAGCCCTCTCTCCTTAGTGTCTTCACGTCTTACTCCTGTTAGTTTTTTTCTACTTCCTCCCAAGAGTCAACCCACTCATCTCCGAAAAAAACGAGATCACGATTTTCAGACCAACTGAAGGCAGTTCTGGTTTTTTGAACAGTTAGGTACAGACTTAAGATTAGTTGTATACGTTCAGGAGGGCGAGTTCCTCAGTGAGGTGGGCACCACCTCTTCTCCCTTCCTTCAGTCCCCTGAGCGTGGGTACCCTATTACCCCAGCTGCCTCGATCCCCTCGTTTTATTCCTTAGTTGGATGCTGCTCCCATCACTCATCCTCGGGGTACAGTAGCTGGTTGTTCCTCACAGCATGGCCCTGATCCATTTACTCCAACACTGGCTATGCTGTGACACCCTATTATTTTATTCTGTGGTACTGGGAATTGAACCCAGGGTCTTCACACTGAGCTGCATCCACTCCTCTTTTTAAGTTGCCCAGGCTGGGCTTGAACTTGTGTTTCTTCTGCCTCAGCCTCCCAGAGAGCTAGGATTATAGACCTGCATCACTGTGGCACCCCTTTTAGGGGCTCTTGTCAGATACAACTGGAGAATGATAGCTGTAGGTAGTCCAGCTTTGTTGGACCCCAGCTCTGTTGCCTGCTCCCCCTTTGCAGGTTTTTTCAGAAGTAACACCTGTTATGAGGTTCTTATATTACCTCTGTCATCAGGAAGCCAACTTCAGGAAAGGGCCTTGTTCCAGACCCAAATGACATACTTCTGTGTGGGCATTGCCAGAGACATGATGGACATTTTGGGTGGGGTCAGTTTCCCCCTAACACTCATGTTAAACTTATTTCCTTTTTTTTTTTTTTGGTACCGGGGATCAAACTCAGGACCTCGAGCTTGCCGGGCAGGCACTGTGCTGCTGTGCTAAATCTCTGGCCCTGTTAAACTTATTTCTAAAACTCTTTAAAATTGTAGTATTGATTCTTAAGAGGTAAGTGGAGTTGTTTAATGAGTGTTTCTTTTCCATTTCCTTCCTCCAGGCTGAAAGACTTGGACAGAGACAGTTTGACCGAAAAGGTAACCTCTGCTTTTATTTTTAAAACATTTTAAATGGAACATTATTTTTAGATGAGGTCTTGTTGTGTTGCCCAGGCTGGCCTGGAACTCGCAGTCTTGAGTGCTGGGACTACAGGTTTGCGCCACCATGCCTGGCTCCTCCCATAGACTTTAAATCACCCCTGACCTGGCTTAGAATCTGTGACACGACATAAATGGTGCTTGAGTAGTTTTTATGCTTCATTGTGCAGGGGGGAAATGACAGGAACAGTTTATGTCCAAAACAGATGGAGTTTTTTCAGACTTTTTCCCATTCGAGGGTGGTTGAATCTACAGATGCAGAACTGAGGATACGGAGGACCATCTGTCTTCAGCTTCATGGTGGAGACAGTGCTGTTGCCGTTCAGGCATTGCGATGAGGGCAGGCAGCTTAATTACCTGTGCACTGTTGGTCCGTTAATTAATAGTCTGCCAGCTCGGGGACCGCTAAACCTGTGTCCTTCCCTTAGGAGTGTGTGAAGAAGAAGCTGAATCTCTTGCATGAGTTTCTGCAGACGGAAATCAAGAATCAGCTGTGTGATTTGGAAACCAAATTACATAAGGAAGAGTTGTCCGAGGTGAGTGAGTTCTCAGCCTCCTGGCTCCCAGAAGACCATCTGTGACTTCTGTGACCAGGGAGGCAGAACCCCTCCCTCCCCGCTGCCTGATGATTGTGAGGGGACGAACGTTCCCTTGTTCTTATTGTCACTGGTTTCCATTCACTGCTACTCAAATTATCCTTTCCTGCTGTAGGAGGGCTACCTGGCTAAAGTCAAATCCCTTTTAAATAAAGATTTGTCCTTGGAGAATGGAGCTCTTGCTTTCAATCGAGACGCGAACGGTTGCCTAGAGAACGGGAGCCAGGCCAGCGGTGAAACCCGGAGAGCGCGAGCAGCAGAGGCGCACAGCCCCCCGCACACCAGCTCCAAGCCTCGAGCGCCCCGGAGAAGCAAGCCTGACGGTGAGGGCCAGTGGAAGGGCCACGACTGGTTTCCAGCCTTACCTGAGGCTGTGGCACACGGGAGGGGACAGTCAGGCTTTGCCCCGGCGGGACCCTGGGCAGTAGCTCTTGGTTCCTTCCGTATGTGAGGTGCTGGGGATGGGCCCAGGGTCTTGAGCATCTGCGCTTTACCTCTGAGCTCCAGCCCGGGTCCCTGGGTTCCTCCCGACCAGTGTAGTCACACAGATGGCTCAAACTGGATCTTTCAAAGTGATGGTGCCGGGTGGTGTGAAAGGAGTATACACTCACTAGAAGCCGTCCTTTGATATTTACTTATTGTTCTGCTGCTGGGGATTGAGCCCAGGGCCTTCACACTGAGCTACATCCTCGGCCTTTATTTTTAATTTTTGATATAGGATCCCTGGCTAAATTGCGCAGAATGGGCTGAAAATTGTGATCCTCCTGCCTCAGCCTCCCAGACTGCTGAGATTACAGGTGTGAGCCTGGGTCATTCTGTGAATTTTTGCTTTTGACCCTTTCTTGGACTATGTGTTACTCAGTGTTAGGCAGGGGCAGTGCCTACTTGGCCACAGTTAGCAGGTGCTGACTGCTGACCCTGGGCTAGGATTGTCACCAGGGGTGCCTGGCCTTGGGCTTCTGCAGTAGCTTGGCACTGAAGTGCCCCATGCCTGTGGACCCGGCTGCTCACAGTGGCTTTCTTTTGTTTGTTTTTGAAAACAGCTGGAACCACACCCAGCCCCAAGGTGACCCGGAGAGCGACCAGGCAGACCACTATCACATCTCATTTTGCAAAGGGGTCAGTATGTGGGGGTGGGCTGTGGCTTTCTCTCTAGGCCAGGTGTTTCGGTGGCGCATAGAAGGAATTGGTAGGGTGTGATTTAGTTGCCCTGCCTTCCAGATTGCATTGTGTACATCCCCAGCCCTTTTTATCTTTTATTTTGAGGCGGGAGCTTGCTGAGTTACCCAGGCTGGGCTGAAAATGAGGCCCTCCTGCCTCAGCCACGGAGAGAGCTGGTGTGCAGACATGTGCCACCTTGCTGGTTCTGCGTAGGTTACCTGGCAGCTTTCACTCACTGACATTCATGAGTGGCGTTTTAGAGGACCTTGGCTGTTTTTAGTCTTCTGGAAACTTCAAATATATGTACACTTAGAGTGTAGTTTAGTGAACCCCCAAATACTCCTCACCCAGCGTCCACAGTCACCACCTCAGCATTGTTTCACACCCTGCCCTCAGCTGGATTGCTTTGAAATGAATCCCAGACATGCTGTACCATATGTAAAACCAAAATAGTAATGAAGGCTGTTTGCATGTCTTTTCTGAAGTTTTTGTTTTGGCAGTGCTGTGGGTGGAACCCAGGGCCTCATGCATGATTGGCAGGTGCTAGACCACTGAGCTGTACCCTAGCCCCAGCTTTTTTTTTTTAATTAATTAATTAATTAATTTATTTTGGTACCGGGATCGAACTCTGGGGACTTTGCATTTGTGAAGCAGGCGGTACACTACTCAGCTAAATCCTCGGCCCTTTTTATTTTTATTTTTGTTTGAGACAGGGGCTTGCTATATAGTTCATGGCCTTGAACTCACTGTGTAGCCCAGGCTGGTTTTGAATTCATGGTGATCCTCCTGCCTCAGCCTCCCGAGTGCTGGGTGCTCGGATGACAGTTTACACTATCATGCTCAACCAGCTTTTTGTTTTTTGAGGCTGATGTCTTCATAGATGGCTCCTTGTCTGGCAGAGGTGTGTGATATCTCCCCTTTGTGACATTAGTGGCCGTCGTCGAGTGTCGGTGCACATTTTATCACTTGTACAACAGCCGCATGCTGAACCTGTCACTCAAAGAAATGTCACCCGGAAGCCTCTTTAATATTGTGGGAGCGAGGGCCTCTCCCAGGAGGAAGGGAAGTGTGCATGCCCTTGATTAGGCCTAAAAGAGGGTGCTCTGGGAAGGAGGGGTGTAAGTCACCCAGGGTCCCCACGGCCAGGTCTCTGAGCTGACGGTCACTTCATTGTGTGTGACAGCCCTGCCAAACGGAAACCTGAGGAAGACTCTGACAGGTCCAAATCAGACGAGTCTATGGATGAAGAAGAGAGAGACCAGGTGAGGCTGGCGTGGCCGAGGCTGACCTCGCCTCCATTTTGGGGTTTTTGCTGTGGGTTGCTGAATGGAGACCCTGTCCATGGGTTTCTCCAGAGAAGCAGGCAGGCAGGGTGTGAGCGTGTGTGATGCACATAGGATAGAGAACCAGGGACCGCACGTACTCGGGGGACGCGTGAGCCAGCTCTTCAGGGAACTCGCTTTCAGGGTGGTGGGTGCCAGTGAGGTGGAAGCCTGCAGGAGGGTGGCAAGTTCGAGCCTAGCCTGGACAACATACGGAGTCCGTGGCACAAGATAAAAACGGGGCTGGAGATGCAGCTCCATGTGAAGGCCCTGGGTTCATTCCCTTGTGCAAAAAACAAATTCGTTGTTGGGCGGGCCGGAGGTGCTGGAAAAAGCTGAGGTCGCAGCTCACATCTGGAGGCAGAACCTTCTTTCTTTAGATTTTAGCACTGGGGATTGAACGGAGGGCCTTGTGTGTGCTAGGCAAGTGCTGCACTTTGAGTTTTACTTGCAGCCCTGGGACGAATATATATATAAAATGTTTTATGTAGATTTTACACGATGGAAGTGCAGGGAGGCTCCTTGTACCCTTCACCTAGCTTTCCCCGTGGTAACATCATGTGGCCTCTGCAGGCTGTCAGTGGCATTAGCATTTGCATGTGCGTGTGTACTGTCATGTAGTTCTGTGCAGGGGGTGGATTTATTTCCCAGCAGTGGGGATTGAACCTGGGGTCTTTGGACTGAGCTACATCCCCAGCCCTTTCTCATTAATTTATTTAGTACCAGGGATCGAACCCATGACCTTGCGAGGCAGGCGCAGTACCACTGAGCTAAATACCCGGCCCCTATTTTATTTTTTATTTCTTTTTTCCCTCAGTACCAGGGATCGAATTCAGGGCCTTGCACTTGCGAGGCCCGTTTATTTATTTTTGAGACAGTGTCTTGCTGACTTGCCCGGGCTGGGCTTCAATTTGTGATCTTCCTGCCCTGGCCTTCTGAGTAGCTGGGATTACAGGTGTGCACCACTGTACCTGGTTTAGTTTTAAGATCGTAGGCATGCACATGTATTTTATGGCTTTTTGCTGTGCTCGGCATGGAACCCAGGGCCTTGCTCATGTTGGGTGAGTGATTTACCAGTGAGCGACACCCCAGCCCCTCAGGCTTGCATTTGTATAACCTCTACCTCAAAGGTGATGCAGATTTGTTTCAATGGGACAGTTTACTTTTATTTGCTTTTGGTGCTCTGGATTGAACCAGGGCCTCGTGGATGCTCAGCGTTGCCTGCCACTGAGCTACATCCCTGGCCTCATCCCTACAATATTTTAATCCTTTTCAAGTTAAGTAGACACAGGTATCTGGAGCTGGAAAATCTTGTGGCTTTAGGGACATTGTGTATCAGGGTAACCCTCTGAGAAGGAGCTAGGCGGCCATCACTGCCTGGCATGAATCCCAAACACCCAGTTGGATTTTGCCCAATACTAGAGAACTGCTGACCTGGCCTGGCCTGAGAGTCCTTTATTCGTCTGTGTTGTGTTACGTAGGGTAATTTACTCCACTAAGGGGCTGTGGGGCTGAGTGCTGCTTTACCTCCCGGCCTGGCCTTTGTTTTGGGAATTGTAAGCCATTACAGCCAGAGTGACCGTTTCCTAGATTTTCTTCCCAAATCCCAGATGCCTCTCTTTAATTTTTTTTTTTTTTTTTTTGGTACTGCGGATCGAACTCGGGACCAACCTCCTGCTTGCCAGGCAGGCACTATGCCACTGAGCAAAATCCCCAGCCCTCTTTCATTTTTTTTTTTTTAAAACAGTGCTGAGGATTGAACCCAGGGACTTATGAGTACCAGGCGAGTACTTTACAGCAACGGCTCCCACCCCATTTTTAACCATATTACCTGTATTTACTTAAACTTTGATCCATGCTTTTGACCTTGATCGTCCTTTGAAACCAATACTCTTTTCGTTTTTCTTCCTTCCTCTTGCACAGGAAGAGAAGAGACGAAGAATTACAAGCCGCGAAGCGTAAGCATAGTTACTGTACCTTCTCTTGTGTTGTATACATCGTGTTACCTCAATTATGGAAATCACTTTTCTGGAAAGTTTCAAAAGAAGAGCTTGAGAATGAAGTTCCCTGGCAACCGTACAGCTGTTGGAGGGTGCTGAATTTGGGGGCAGGTTATGGACGTTGGGATCCAGGTTGAATTCTCAGCAGCAAAGGAGAATGCGTGAAGGGTGACTGCCATTTCTTCCCAGACCTGGGAAGCATCACAGTCAGTTCTCCATGTTAAAGGAGTTTGTCAGCTAGGCATGGTGGCGCACACCTGTCATCCCAACACTCGGGAGGCTGAGGCAGGAGGATCGCTGTGAGTTCGAGACCAGCCTGGGCTCCATAGTGACTTCCAGGTCAGTCTCAACTACATAGTGAGACCCTGTCTCCAAAAAGCCAAAGAGACAGAGTTTGTGTCCTGAGGCTCCTGAGGCGACGATTGCTTTGGGGCAGGGAGAGGGATGTTGGAAACTGCTTCCAAGCATGGCCCTGTGTCAGTCCCAAGTGAGGTGTGTTCTGCTTTGCTTGGCAGAGTTGCTGTGGCAGGACCGGAAACTGAAGCCCCTGGAACCCACCTTGACAAGGAGGATGAGAGAGATGAAAGAGTAAAGCTTGTCCCTAATCTCGGAGGCCCCATGGCTGCAGGACTGAGGGGTGGGGGTTGGAGAATTTAGGAACACATGATTCACTGATGATTGAAATGCCTTGACTTTGGCTGGGCCACTTTCAGCCGCACTTTTCTGTGCATGGAAGGTGGGTTACAAGGCTGTGATGGTGATCATGAGACCTCGGGGTGGGGGGCCAGACCTCTGCTTAGTCACAGTGCTTTAGTCTGTCCCCCACCTTTCTCACTGACAAGGTCTTTGTGCAGATCTGATTTTATTTGTTTTTGTTTTTTTGAGACAGGGTCTCACTATGTAGTTGAGACTGACCTGGAACTTACTGTGTAGCCCAGGCTGGTCTCGAACTCACAGCGATCCTCCTGCCTCAGCCTCCCGAGTGCTGGGATTACAGGCGGGCACCACCATACTCAGCATCGCAGATCTGATTTTTAGACAGGAAGGTGCTGAAATCCTACAGCACTACCCAAATAGGCAGTTGCCTTCTCGGGCTGGAGATGGAGCTCAGTGGTAGAGCTCTTGCGTAGCACACACGAGGCCCAGGGTCCCAACGCCACCACCAAAAGGACGCCAACATTTCTCATGCTGCCTGCTCACCTGTGGTACCAGCCAGGCCCTTCCTCAGACCTGCAGCTCCTCTGAAATCAGGGAGTTTAAGTTTCTGTGCAGTTCAGATGTGGGACTCATTTGGCTTTGTTTTATGTGATGCTGCTGACTGGAAGTACTTTTTTTTTACAAGCCAGGTGTGATGTCACATGTCTGTAAACCCAGGCCTCCAGGAGGCTGAGGGAAGAGGAGAATTTAAAGTTTGAATGCAGCCTGGGCAACTTAATGACTTAGCGAGGCCCTATCTTCAGTTCAAATGAAACAAAACATAAACGGTTGTGGAAGTCGCTCAGTGCAAAGGCCCTGCGTTCAATCCCCAGTACCACAAAAACAAGAAAAGGCTCCTCCCCAACTCCAATGCTGGCGAGTGCCTGCTGGTTAAAGGATGGGTTTCCACACTTTTACCCCCAGGAGGGGTCAAGTGAGGCGCGTGGTAACCCTCTACCCATTTGGTATTTGAAACTAGTCCTGCCTGGATCTCCCTCCTACCCCGTGATAGTTCGCACACCCCAAAAGTCAGTCTCGGCGCGAGCAGCCCAGGGTGCCAGTTGGGGCCCTGGCCTGAGGAGGAGGAGCGGGGCCAGGTTGAAGCCCCAGCTTGTGGTCAACCCTGCAGGACCACAGCGTGTTTCTTCCCACCCCCCGCCTTGTGGTACCCTTACAAACTCACGTACGGAGTGCTTTTCTTTCTTTTTGGCAGTACTGGAGACTAGACCCAGGAGTCTTCTACCACTGAGCTCTGTCTCCAGTCATTTTATCTTTTTGTGGAGGGTCTTGCTATGTAGTCCAGGCTGGGCCCTTGAACTTGGCCTCCCGAGTGTGGGATTACAAGCATTTGCCACCACACCTAACCTGTTTTGCTTTTTATTTTATTTTATTTTTTGGCATGGGGGATCAAACTTGGGCCCTTGCACTTGCGAGGCAGGCGGCGAAACCACTGAGCCAAATCTCTGACCCTCTTTTGCTTTTTGAGGTAGGGTTTCACTAAGGTGCTCAGGCTGGGGATTTAGCTCAGTGGCACTGCACCTGTCTTACAAGCACAAGGTCCTGAGTTCGGTCCCTGGTACTGCCACTCGTGCTCAGGCTGCCTTCAAATTTAAAATCCTTCTGCCTCAGCCTCTTGAGTATCTGGGGCTCCAAACACTTACCACTGCATTCGGCTTAAACTACAGTGTTTCAGGGTCTCCTTTCTAAGAGTCTTAAGTAGACCGCCTTTACTCCTACACACTAGCCAGTAGGATTGTTCTAGGTGTGTTATTTCCCCGCAGTAGTTGCACAGGAAGATTGGAACCAAACAGGAAAACTAACTAGTGTTTTGTTTTGTTTTATTTTTTTCCTTCTCCCTCTAGGAAGACAGGAGACTTAGAAGTCAGACCAGAGAGCGGTAGGTACAATCAGCATGGCTTTGTGCTTTGTGCGCCGTTAGCTGCCGACAGGCGTGTTCTAGGAGGTTGTGGTTGGTCGCAGGTGCTCGTGCATTCATTTTGCTCACACTGCACAGCTAAGCTGCCCTGGGGAAGCTCAGACCACTGTGGCGAAGGCTGAAGTCAGCGGTGGCTCCTTCTGACACAGGCCTGCCTGCCTTGGGGTGCGCAGACAGCAGTCTGTCTTTCGGTGTCAGAGGCCACTGAGTGTGCTGGGCGCGGTGACGCATACCTGCTTTCCAGCACTCTGCGAGGCTGAGGCACAAGGATCACAAGTTCAAGTTGCCTGGGCAACTTTGTGAGACCCTGTGACAAACTAACTGAACTGAGGACGGAGTAGGGGGAGAGGGCTGGAGCTGCTGTCCAGTGCAGGGGCCCTGGGTTCCACCCCTAGTACGGGGAGGACAGGAGGGCGTGGAGCGAGAAGCCATCTGAGAGTGACCCCTTGCTGTGAAGACACTGTGTTCCAGATGGCGCACGGCTCAGGGACGTGAAGCAGGGTGTCCTGAGCCCAGCAGTCTGCCTTGGTGGCTGTCACCTCAGTCGGCCTGGGCACTGTCCCAAAGGGGCATAGAGTGAGGGCACAGCAAGGGGCGTTTTTGGGCCTCTGCTACCCAGTTGGCTGCAGCAGATACACGGCCTGGACTAAGACCTGAGCACCAGGGCCTCCTGTGCGGTCAGCTGCCCACAGTTGTACTATGGCCCCCACTCAGCCTCTCAGAGCCACACGGGCCACATGCAGCTCCTCTTAGCCCTCAGTGGGCTTCTGTCCTCCTTTTTCATTACTCTTTTTTTTTTTTTTTTT